TTAGATTAGCTCTCGGTAATTGGTAAAATATTTTTTGGAAGAACATATAAATGTTGTTATCTCCAGGCATCCTGCTTGTGATAGTTAAGATTTTGGATGTGCTTGTTTAAGATTTTTAAAGAATTAGTAAATCATAGAGGAAGGGAAGAAAAATAAATCTGCTTTTTTACAGTGCTCATGAGTCTTCTTTGTATTTACGTAGAAGTCACTTTTTTTTTGCTTTTGTTTTCATGTTTCACAATGCCAGGATCTTGCACATACCAGGCAAGTGCTGTACCACTGAACAACATCCCAAAGCCACAAGTCACTTTTTAAAGCACCCTATTCAGTGACTGTTATTACCACGACTCTGTGGGTGGCAGCTGGGCTTGTGCTCAGTTCTCTAGGGCTTGGACTGAGGCTGAGTGAGTATAGAACAGCTAAACTAGGTCACCCAGGTAGCCTTCATGTTTGAGACAATCTGCACATGTTCCTTACTCACTTACTACAGGAATGAGTACAGTCTCATTCCCTGCAGATGGGGCTCCCCTTGACTCAGGGGAAGTTTTCCTCCTCTGCTTTTTCATGTGGAAGCACATTTCCCTCCACCCTATCTGCTGATGTTTAAATGTGTCCTCCTTAGACTGCAGTTCCCAGCAGTTGGGCGGCGGCACTGCCATGTTCTGGAAGCCTTCTTGGGTGAAGTAGCATGGTAGCATGCTGCTTGCTGAAGACTTGATCCCGGCTGAGGAATCCAGATTCCCTGCCAGTATTGTGGGTTTCCAGGTGACAGAAATCCTTGGCCTTCCTGCCTATGTAGCATAGTTGTAGGAGTTCTGCTAATGGATCTCCAACTACTCGTGTCAATGAGAGACCCTGGTAAATTCTGGGTGTTTACATCCCATGTTCCTGCTGCTTGTTGGCTGGGATCTTCAGCCACCCAGATCTTAGGTGAATTGTCCAATTTGTTGTCACCCTGGTGGACAACCCTCTGGTCAGTCAGCTATCTATATTATGCATGAGTCGTTGGTACTGCTTGCTTTAACCTCTGGCACAAGTTTGATTTTCAGATAGGATGATACTCCTTGCATTTATAGCTGGATTTTCTTCTTAAGTTTGGAAATCTAAAAGAAGATTCTATTACTTATGAAAACAACTGTAGGAATGGGTTGTCCTAATTTAATGTGTTTTTAAACTTTCCTTTAGCTGTGGAAGCCATTTATGCAAGAAAATCTTATCTGGAACCTACACTGGGAAAGCACTCAAAAGAAGGGCTTCTCTGGAGTTGTTCATTGAGGGGAAAGTGTATTGAGGAATTACGAGGAGCCCTGCTGGACTCCTCATCTGCTTTGTCATGGGTGGTGTGAAAACAGGCAAGTGAGAGGCTTGCTTGAGCCTCTTGCAATGGTTGTCCAATAATGCGTTTCTAAGACTTCTGCACCCTAACAGGAAGGAAAACACTCTCCAGTTCTCCAGTGCGGTATGATTCGGTAGCATGCTTTGTTTTTGTCTTTGCAGAGCTGAGATTCAATCCAGAGCCTTATACATGCTAGGTAAGCACTCTACCACTGAGGTACATTCTCAGTCCAACACATTTTTTGAGTGGTAATCACATAGTCCCGAACTACAGATATTCAAGATCTGTCATGTAAAGACACACGATCCAAATGATAAATGCAACTGTGCTATATACTTAAAAAGTACCAATAAACTCAATGAGAAATAAAAAGAGGCTTATGAACTTTGGAAACTTTTCTTACTACAAATGTGTAGTTATTTTGAAGCAAGCTAGAAAGCATATGAATTTTGAATTCTTTAACCTTTTTTTTTTTTGGTAATTGGAAATAATTTTAAGAGACTGGAGACTTTCTTGTTTACATTTCGATTAGAAAAAGAAATGAGACAGATGTGGGATCCCGTGATGTTTTCCTTTCTCACTTCCATTTTTGAACGCCAGGTGCTGGAAACAAAAATAGAAGAGACATAACACCTCCCCTATTTGTAGTTCTCCCAGTATAGTGAGGGGAGTAGAGGAACCTAAATCGTTCTGATGATGTCAGGGTGGTTATGGTGAAAAAATATCCCTTGACTTCCTGCGATCCTAATATGAGGGGCAGAAGCCTGCGTTGTGAGGAACTGGCCACCTGCTTCGTGGCTGTAACTCAGAGGCTCTGCTGTCTCCTCAGCACGCGAGTTTATGTGGACTGCTGCCTCAGGGTCCTTTTCTATTTGTGGTAAACACACAGAAACCTACCTAGCACACATGTTCTTAAAAAAGATTCCATGGATGTATTCTCTGATATTATATTGATGTCGTAATTCTTTTTGTGGTGTTTGTGATGGAACCCAGGGCCTTGCACATGTTAGGCAAACACTACCACTGAGCCACATCCTGAGCCTTACACTTATATTTTAATATAAAGCATAAAGATACACAGATATTACTGAAGTATTTTTTGTGCTCATTTGTGCCAAATACATTTCAACCAAAAAGTTGATCTACATTCAATTAAAAAGAATTTTTTTAAGTAGGTTCTCATTGTGCTGCCCAGGCTGGCTGTCAGGAACTGGGCTCCTGCTTACATGGTTTAGAAAAAAAATTCAAAATATTTCAGGAAAATGTGGCTAGAACTTTTTGTTATTTTCAAAACGATATGCCCTTTGGCTTAAGCTACGAAGCCGGTATCACGGTCTTGGGAACTCAGTGTTTCCTTCTTCCACAAGAACAACTGATGGCCCCGGGTGACACCAGCAAGAGGACTCATGATGGCTCTTGGTGCTGGGCGCCCACAAAGCTGTCTGCTTCCCTTTCCCTTCCTAAGTTTTCTTTCCTCCTTGGTGGGTCTAAAGCCCTTAGCATCCCCCGATTTTTCAGTACCCTCTTTCTATGTGCGCCCAGAGCAGCATTGTCTTCTGCCCACAAAGCTCTGCTCCCTTAAGGGAGCGGCTGCAGCTAAAGGTCGTCTATTTCACTGCCTTCCCCCATGAAGTCCTTAGGTAGGAGAGAGACACTTTCACAGCTTTTCTTTTCTAATTAAGTGGTTTATTAGTCAAATGAAGCTCTGAAGGGCTGTGATTGGGGAGTATTTCTAGAGAGGACTTGGTCTTTGTAGGCTACACAGTTCCCTACTTTTTGGTCTTGGAAGTCCAGTACCCTGGCTTTTTGATTTGTCCCTTGCCCCAGGAGCGTCCTGGGCTGACCAAACTCAATAGGTTGAGTGCAGTGGGGGACAGGCAAGTCAAGGGCATCAAGCAAAGAACCTAAGGCCTTTGACAAGCTGAGCTGAGCACTAGCGAGGCACCAGCCCTGCTCTGTCATTTAATGTTCACCGCAGCACCGTGAAGGTGGCTCCACTGTCTCAGAATCTCACAGAGAGAAGCAGTAGCGAAGAGGGTTTAACTGCCTGGGCAAGGTTACCAAAGCCAAAGACTAGTAATAGTCTTTAAGATTCTCCAACATTTGGTGTGTGTGCTGACCATGCTGGGTGCAGTACTTTGCAGGAGTCACTCCACTTAGTTCTCACTCTGATCCTTCCAGATAAGTTCTGCGTTCATTTATTATTGTTTCTTACAAGAGGAGTCAGAGAGGGAGCCACCAAAACACTTGGTCATTGCCACACAGCTGGTGAAGTGCGGACTCCAGACTAAAGAGAAACACTCCACACCGGAAGGAATGGAATTAGTTGTGAAGATGTCTCTCGGGCTGGTTGTACTCTGAAGTATATTTCACGGTGATTTCTAGAGTTTGTCCTTCTATGTGGGCCCAATCTGTGGAGGGGACCAACCCTTTGCCCTCCTTGTATCCAAGCCCATGGCAGCAGGTACCATTGGACAGAAGAGGAACAGCAAGTGCACAGCCTCGAGGCTCCTCCCAGGTCAAGGCTCCTGAACTGCTACCCTCTCTTGAGAGAACAGAGGCCTCTGTCTGCAAAGCACCTGCAGCTCATTCAGTCTTCGGAGGAATTGCTCAAGAGGGGAGACGTGCTGGGTCTGGCATCAGATGACTTCTGTGTGACGAGCAGGCTGCAGGTGACAAGCTGAACTGTGAACAAGTTTTCCACACACGGGAAGCCCTGGCACTGCTGGCTCATGGGGACCACAACAGGATCAAATATTTTGGATCTTTTGTTCTTTTCTAGTAAGGAACAAAGATTAACAAAGTACCAAAATAACGTGGCATTTGGTGGAGGGAATCTTTTAAAAAGTTACATGGTTTAGAGAATTGAAAAGGTGAAATTTAAGATTTAGCTCATAAAGAAGAAATCTCTTAAGTCAGGAAGTTATATATGTGGAAGACAATTATACACGTGGTTCAGGCAAATGTTCTATATAATTTTAGGGAGATGGAGAGCTTTTCTGTTTTTAATTAAAAGAAAACTCCCTCCTGAGAGTTCAAAGCATCATATAAATCAGAGTAACTTAAGTAGAAGTCCTCTTAGTGATATTTTTCCCAAATAAGAATATTATGATTATTTGTCTAACACACTGTGTCATGGGCCTGTGGTTAACATTTATGTGTTTTTTACCTTTAGACTTTAGAAGCTGAATAAAAAAGCAAACTCCCAGAGACCGTAATTCACTGGTAACCTCAGTGTTGAGGCCCATGTAGTCTTACTAGATTCCTTGTGAAACTGAGAGTAAGGGAACTGGGAAACGGATGAAAACATGGTGGCCATCTCTGTAAATCATTTTGTTTAAATTTCTTCACAGTTTTCAGTTTTCCCCAAATGTAGATTTTAACACTTAAATGGTCCAATTATATTAGAAATACACAAGAATTATTTTAATTCTATCGTTTTATTATTCAACATTTATGTTTCATATCCATTTGATAAAAATAATTTAATAAATATAAAATAAATAAATATAAGTTAGCTCATATAATTTTATGAATACAAAATATATCAATAAATATTTTTAAATAAACGACGCTTGAGTGTTTCTGTAAACACTGGTAGAGAAATAGCTTATCAATTCTTGCTCTTCTATTAAAGGGAAAGAAAGAAATTCAGGGAGGACAGTTTCCCTTGCTAGAAATATGCTCATAGAAACTTAAAAAATACTTATTAATAATAAATGTCAAAGCATAAATGTGAAAGTCACTTGATTAAAGGCATTGTGTGGACGTAGTGCCACCACCTTTCAAATGGGGATGCACTGATATAACAGAAGCAAGAGGTTTCTTGTAGGAGTGTAAGTATGACCAAGTCTCTCTCTGCCTCCCCAGTTCCTAACCCCCAGCTTATTAAAATTTCCTTGGGTCGAATTTTATAAAAGTGATCCTGATGCTGGGAAGGCCCTCAGCCTTTTAGGAAGAACTCAGATAACTCATCATTCTGTCGATAGTCACTGCGCGAATTCTGAAGGCATGAAGAAGTATGCAGAACTTGACTTTAGCTTGATAAAAGTCTGGTTCTTCAAGGGAAGGTTCTTGTGGTACAGGCTCACTGCTGGCATTCAGGGCCTAGAAGAGCAATGGTGAGCATAACTTACATAGCACTCTAAAGTGAACACCTGTAAAAGTGGGTGGAGCCTCAGAGCCTGCAACCCAGTCCCTCATTACGTTCCTAAGCCCAACGCAAATCGTACACCAGGCAGATGGCCCAGCAGAATCGGAGACAGGAAACACTCATCTCCATGCACACGCATTTTCAGTGAGCTTGAAAAGACCCTTAAAGCTGCTTAGAAAATCATCAGCAGGAGTTGTGATTTTTAAAAGGCCTAGTTTTGGGCTGGGGATTTGGCTCAGTGGTTCTGCTGCCTGCCTTGCAATGTCAAGGGCCTGAGTTCGATCCCTGGTACTGCCCCCCCAAAAAAAGAAGCACAGTTTTTGTCAAGATGACATCTGCTACAATATCTAATTAATTTTCTATAGGCTACATTAATACAGAGGTTATGGATTACTATTAATCAGAAGCGAGAACCGTCTATCAGTGACAGACCCATTTACTCTAGGAACATTTGTAAGAGAAATGAAACTTGCAATGGATTTTTCTAAGTTTAGCCTTTTGATTTGAAAACATATTACAAGATCTTTGGTTTGAATGATGATCAATGCTCTTACTTGCTCATCACAAAAAGCCTAAAAGAAAGGTAGGGTGTACAAAGTCATCCCACTTTGCAGAGAACGGAGGCACAGTGGGGTGAACTGACACGGGCACAGTTGCCTGGTACTGGCATAACTGAATCCACTGTCGAAATTATCTGACTTATGGTCCTAAAAGTGAAATATCAACTTGTCAACTACAAGTGTCTCTGCACGGTAAGGTTCTTTGGAACGTGCATGAAGTTCACTCTTTCAAACAGGTATTATGGTACTGGGAACACACAGGCACACACAGAAATAAAATAATGAGATAAAAAATCAGTTACTTTTTCAGACAGTTCTTTCTGCCACATCTCATCCTTTGCCTTACGCATGGAGGCATTCATCCTATTTCTTAACTGCCTATTTGAATGTTTTGTACTAGTGTATTATGCTATGCTGGCAGAGAAACTTGCAAGTTTCTGCCTGAATGTCCCAGATGATAGGTCATTCTTTTTATTTTGTTCACATTTGGTTCAAAATGTGTCATAAGGAGGCCCTAGCCCCGCCTTTTTTTCTCTAGTAATATTTGCTGCCCCCTAGAGGCAAACGAGTCAATTAGCCCAACAGGAGTCCGTCTTTCAGGCTCTAACAGCTGAATTTGCCCTCTTCTGTTTGTTGGTCCCTTTGCAAAGACCTCCTAAGATTGCTGCTTCCATGACAGAAGAAAATCCATGAAATCACCTGCAAAGACCCTAAGGCACATCTCATGGTCCTCAAGTGGGAGGACGGCTTCTTACTGTGTCGACCCACGTTTCTGATCCGGTGGAGGCACATTTTCTGCAGGGTCTCTCAAAGCGGGATGTGTGGGCCTCTCCTAACCCAGTAAGGGGTGATTTTATTCTACTTCTTCAGGGACCCTGGATGGCTACTTTCAGCATGAAAAAGTGCTCTCACTAGTAGGATGAGCTCTTACCTGCATCAACTCATCAATAGCTGAGAGCATGTTTTGGTCTACAAAGATCTGCCTGGTAGGATCCAACAAAAGTTTTGCATTCATGGCCTGGAACTCCACTTGGTACAGCTTCAAGTCCTCATAGATACTGTTAAGGCACGGGATCTGAATGACATGACAAAATGCAGAAGACACCAGTGAAATGGACTAAAAACATTACCCTCTACTGTATTTGAAGAAAGAGTGGTGTTTCTTACCATCATAAAAGAGGTCTTTCTGGAAGCAAGGCAGCTCCCATTCTAGAAGAAAGAATAGACATCAATGACCTGAATTCATCACATGGGAAAAAACCTTTAGTTTTTTACTTACAGTTATGAAAGAAGCATGTCCAGAAGCCAGGCAGCTCTCGTTCTAGAGAAAAAGAGCACACATCAAAGATATTAATTCTTTAAAAAAATGTTAAAGATAATACAAGTAAATATTAATGAAGAAAATATTAAAAAGCATTCTTCTATGAAAAATATTTAACAACATAATTAGAGAATAACAATAGTTAATACACTGTGTATCATAATTTTAAAAGAATGATCAAAATGTTACTCAGAGCACAAGTTATAGACAAAAAAGACTTACAAGGAGGAAACATGGATAGAAGCACAAAACTTTTTTTCTATAAACTAAGAGAAACTAGTAGTATAAATGAAACAAATCAGCATACCTATTGTTAATATAAATCTGATATTTCATCTCTAACTTTTTAATTAGGGCAAAAACAATATAAAATACATTTTAAGTATTGTTAAGTGCATAACAGGGGCTTTAAGTATATCTACATTGTGACAAGACACCTGTTTTTCATAATTTTTTTTCAAAATCGAATTTCTTTTTTTTGGAAACAGTCTTGCTATGTAGTCTAGCCTTGCCTTGAACATACTATGGAGCCCAGGCTGGCCTGAATTTGTAACAATTCTCTTGCCTCATCCTCATGAGTGCCAGGATTACAGGTATGTCATCACTTCTGGCCTTCAAAATCTAACTTCTAATGGGTACAAGGAATGTGTGAATTTTTGACAGCCAGTTTTGGTGCACAGCTTAATTTTATCGTGTACTTTGGGAGGAAAGTCTTCCATACCTTGACTAGTTCCAGTGGCACACAGGCCTTCACTGTGCTGGTTTTGTCTTTTGTGATATCTTCATAATCAATCTCTTCAGGAGTACAAGAGTAAAATTCTAGGGTTTGTTGGGCCTATTATAAAAAACATGGAGAGAAGTTCAGTTGTTACTACTAATAAAATGCCTGACTGGAGCTGGCTGCCCTTAAGTTCAGTCTCCTTTACCTGTAGGAAATGTGGGATTCAAAAGATAAAACAGGTCACTTACATTCTCTTGCTGCCTCTGTTTCTCTGATGAACACTTTTCCCATTATATAAGCATCGTAAGTCATCTCAACAGGCCATGCCAGTCGGCATCTACAACATAACTGTGACTCTTGCTTCTGGTGAAAACCATTTATTCTTTTGCCAAAGTGCCTCTGTTTTATGAATATATTTCTGAAGTCTAACTTCTAAAGGGTACTGTTAAGGTCACAGCTGGATGGCTATAACAAACATGCACACCCTAAAGACTAGCTGAGCTTTAATTTGCAGTACAAACACATGCGGTACACATACAGAGATGTCATCTTCCTGGCACGTTGTCAAGCGCTGTTGAACAGAATTATGCAAAGCCTTTTAAAGAAACAATGACTTTCTGATTGAAGCTTGAGATTACTTTTCCAGTCAACAAGCCCAGGCACTATGGTACTAAGGACTAATAACAAAGAAAAAGACTGTAGTATGTTCTACTGGATTCTAAGTTTAGCTGTGAAGAAAAGCAAGTGCCCAAATACTTGTCAGTAGTGCAGAAGTAAGTAAGGGCAGTGAGACTGTAGGAGAGGCCAGAGAGGGAAGCAAAGGCTTCACTGGAGACCAGCCATCTGCAGAAAGAAGATTAGAGAGTTATGGGCAGAGCAGGAGAGTTTCAGGCTGAGGGAACAGCATGAATCATAAGCCACGGCCTGCCTGAAAGAGCAGAACACGTTTGGGGCTAAGTAGTACAGTCCCTCGCTATGATAGGTGGTCGAATGCTTTCACCTCTGAAGATGCCCACTTCCCCGTCCCTGAAACCTGGGAAGATGTTATGTGACACGACAGTGGGAATTAAGGTGTAGGTCACCTTCAAGTTGCTAATCAGCCAAATTTATAGCAGAAAGAGACTATCCTGGGGACTGAGGTGGGCTCAGGTTAACCCACAGGGTCTTTGTGGATGCGGGGAGGAGCAGCAGATAGAGTGATACAGCGGGATGAGAAAAAGAGCACCCCTCCCTGGCTTATTTTTTCTTTTGTGATGCTGGGAATGGAACCTGCGGCCTCACACATGCCAGACGAGTACTCTGTCAGTGAGCTAAACCCCAGTGCTGGCTTTGAAGATTCAAGGGAGCCTGAACCCAGAATGCAGCATCGTGTAGAATCTTTGACAGGCCGGGTAGCACTTTCTCCCATTCTCCTAAAGGAATGCGCGATCTGCAGGCACACCGATTTTACCTCACTGGGTCCCACTTTGGACTGTTGAACTGAGCTATAAAATAAAACCTTTTCTTAAGCCACTAAATTTGTGGTAATCTGACATCAGCCACAGAAAATGTACACACTGTTCTCTAGGTGTGTAGCAGCCCTGGGCAACCATTATTTAATCGGGGGGGGGGAGGAGAGAGAGAGAGAGAGAGAGAGAGAGAGGATGGGAATATGAATGAAGGTGGGCCCTATGTGGTTCTTCAGATCTTTTCAAAGAAAGCTGAAAATTTAGATTCTTACTTGAAAATTTCAGTTTTTCAATGATATCCAACTCAAATAATAAAATAAAATAAAAACAATACAGGTCATCCTGTACAAATCTGTGGCACTATTAATCCCATGCATCTGCCCCCTCTGTTTTCCGCAGCTGCTGCTTAGTTTGCTGAGGAAAATGTAAGCAAGTCATAAAAACATCTGACTGAGTTCTGTAATGGTTTGACCTTCAGCACTATTTCTGGGAGTACAAGAGTTAGCTTTATCACATACAGCGTCTGTTAAAATTGGAGCACCTACATCTTATCCACATCGAACCTTTCTCCAGGAAACAAAGCACTTATCTTCGCAGGTTTCACTTGCTGAGCCTCCGTTTTAATTAGGATTGATTGAACCTTGAGGTGCAACTGGCAGTCCATTATGAAAGATAAGAAGGGAAGGAGAAAGGGCCATCTTGGGCTTATTTTAAATTTTCACGAAAGTAAAAGGAGGCCCTTTTTGCTTGGTGGTGCTGGAGATGGAACTCAGCTTCTCAAACCCAGTTAAGTAAATAGTTTACCACGGAGTTACCCACTCCCATGATATCTGTTAAAACATCGATCTTTGCTTGTGCCTTGTGCAGTAAAAGCAAGGGTTAACTGGAGCAGTTTTACTAAAAAGGAATAGAACTTAGTTTGCATTACAAAATGAAATCTGAACACAAATATGATGCTATAAAGAAAATTGGACAACTCTTCCCTAAAACAAAAAAGCTTGACACTCAGTCACATCCCTCCCTGAGGCCTGCTGCCCTGACACCGAACTGCATCACCACACTAGATGCTGGTGAGCAACACAAGGGACGATCTAATTCAGCTCTGCAGCTCAGACAGCACAGGCAATGCATGTAATAGCTGTTTTGTGGGTCAACATGCAGTATCAGAAAAACAGTGTGCAACTGACAAAATTCCATCCCTGTTGGCAGGCTGCGGAGAATGCTATTTTAAATATCCATTTCCCTCTCTGTAGACACAGCTAAACTGAATGCCATTTTAATTCATTACCACCCTTGCTGTCTCTGGGGACAGTTTCATTGCGACTTCAGTTAATAGTTGAGCCATTTGTGAAGTTCTTCGCCTCCTCCTAACCTCTACAGCTTCACTTTCCTTGCTGTATCTCTGCGTACTGCAAGCTGGGGTCGGTGAGAAGGACACACAGCAGAGCTCACCCTTTGAAGTGCGCTTCTCACCGCGCTCAGCAGGGTTTGGGAGTGGTTAAGGCACTGGAAGGTTTCTGCGACTGCTGTGGCCCTGGGGAGGTTCCTGGCCAAACCGAGATGGACCAGGAGGACGGCGGTGGCCAAAAGGAGGAAACCTGGAAGGGAAGCGAGGTGGGCTGAGCAGCTTGTCAGTGGGGTTGATCTGCTGCTACCTTCCAGCCACTCTGGTCCTCTTTACTCCTCCACCCCCGGTGCGAACCTCCCTCCCCTGTTCTATGGATCAAGGTTTTAGAGAGCATCCCTCCGTCCTGGGGCTAGAAGCCAGCTCCCTGGGAGTGCCCAGGATGAGATAGGACAGAGGTGTGGGACTCAGCGCGCCCTCCGAGAAAGCCTTGACTTTGGGTAGGCAAAGTGAGGCCAGGCAGCTAAGGGGCCGGTTCAGTCTCAGGCCACTGCGTGTTGAAAGCAGTGGTGTGACAAAGCCCCGCTCGGAGTCGGCTGCGATCTGCCTTCGACAGCTGTGGCTCACAGGCTGGGGCTGAGTTTCTCGTGTGTGTGCAGTGGGCAGACAGCGCCCTAGGGGCGCAGGGCGCATTGCCTGCAGGTACTCACGGCGCGAAGGGC